ATTGGTTGGGGTTTTTTTTTACATCTTTGAAGAATGACAAAAATTTGCTGGAAAAACAGGAAAATAATGGGAGTGAGCAGCTGTTGGAAACTGAATTTTCATCTACCCCAAAACAAGCAAGACTTAAGTTGCATAAAATTCTTTCTTTGGGACCAGACAAGTTTCCTTCCAACTGAAGTGTTTAGAGTTTAATTTCTTTTTTTAGAGGAATTATTTCTGGCTAGCTTTTGTTGACCCGTCTAGAATTTTTTTAATTTTATTTCTGTAAAACAAACTGACTGAAAACTTAACTCGCCTCAGCTGTAGAGGTCACTTTTACACAGAACTGCTCATTGCAGAGCAGTGGAAGTTCATCTGTCATTTTTTCTCACCAATGTAATATAAGAGAAATGGTGGGCCCCACCAAGCTCGGGTCAGAAATGATCACAGCATCTCTGTGTGACTCTGTTCAGGTGTGAGCACAGGCACTTGCAGGGTGGCTGACAGGGCTGGACATACCCACCTGCCCACTCAGTTGCTTTTTAAGTCACAGAATACTATACCATTTGCACTGATCTCAGATAAAAAAAAAATATATCTCTAATCCAGAGAGATTCTGGGACTGAAATGCAGGGGTAGGGTTAGGGTTAGGTCCTAACAACCACTCCTTTCTCAATATGTTTAATTAGCCACACTATCTCCTCTGGGGTTTGCTGATTTACTAAATGTATGAGATTGTATCATCTGTTTGAGTAAAGGGAGATCTGACCCAATAGGTTTTCCCTAAGAAAACTACTGTGAGAATGCATGTACAGAAAATCCTAAATACACAATGCTTTCTTCTTCACCAGATAATACACTGTACTAGTTGGTCACTGTTGTAAACAAATATGCAAAATCAGGAGACATGCAGAAAGATGTCATTCTCCTGCAATAAAGTTAATCACCTGCTAATGTTATTACTAAAGACAGGAATAAATTCTGATTAATAAGGAGAAGACAACTGCAGGAGACACAAGAATATGTTGTACTCAAAGCCCATCAAGGTGATGATCAGCTGACCTCAGTGGTGGTTCTTTCTGCTTTGCACTCCAAAATGACTGCACAGGTACTGATTATAATAAAACAAATATTGGTTGTGCATGCCACACCGTGCCAGATAGCAGATGCCTCTTAAAAGACGAGTAATTACAACCTTCCAAGATTATTAGATTAGCAAAAATACAGCTGCAAAACAAAGTAGACACGAATTTAATTACCATGCTAATTTTCTTTTGGTATGAGAAATACTGACTCTACTGTAATTGCTTACTTTATACATCTAGTCTCGCCACTACTACTGTTTAAGTTACTGCAGCACTTAAAAAGATAGAAACTGCATTGCAGTCGTGAAGTTTGATGCTCAAACAGCCTATGAGTATTATGAAGTTATAGGATCTTAAAAATTAAAAAACTAACCTTCATCCTTTTTAGGGGAAATAAAAGCTGGACCTGCTAAGCACTAGGAAGAATAAAAATACATTTGTGCAAACTGTGTCCCCTCTTCTATTAAGCACTTCTGAAATTTTTAATAATTGATGCAAAATGAAATGTTTTTGTGAAAAATCTGGGGATTTTCTCCTTCACCAATTAGCATTTCAGCATTGACTATAAAAGAGTCTTTCTAATGAAAGGAAAGAAGGAAACAGCAGGACATTCACCGAGAAAATGCTCAGACCCCTGAATTCACTGACACTTCTACTCAGGAAAAGTGGAACTTGCCACTGAGACCTGTGTGATTTCAATCATTTACTCACGAACATTGAAACCCCACAGTTCCCTCTATCATTGCTGTCATGAGATCAATGTTTATAAAAGGAGAAAATTCAAGAAAAGAGTGTCTATGCTGGATTTACTGCCTGATAGATGCAGACAGTCCTGCTGATGGGAGACTGGAAAACGCCATTGCTCAGGTGTCAAAGGAGACGTCGGATCAGCTCCCTTAGAAGACAGTCCCTTTTGGGCATCAGAAATATATACCATTCTGTTAGAAGAACATAATTGGGGTTTTGCCATTTTTTTCCTTGTTCTCTTTTAATTTTAATGCCTCTTGTTCAGTTTACTTTAGATAGCAACAACTAACATTTCTTTTTATTTGAGAATACGTCCTATAGGTGGTACTGGTATTCAGCAACAAAGAATTGCACAGCATAAGCCTTCACAAAACAATCTGCCCTCAGACATTTGTGGACAAGTCCCATAGAACCTGGTGCATACCTTCACCTTATAAATTGTTTTTGTCAGCAGAATAATGTTTCTCTGTAAACTGTTCTGGATTTCTAGAGCAAATGTAAAGCGCTGTTTCTAAACAGTAATGCTATTTCCCCCCTCCAAAGTAGAATATGCTTCAATTATTGGCAGGAAACTCGTTCTCTACCCTGGGATAGCTTGAGTGAGTAAAGGGAACAAGCCACTATGAACTGAATACTTTAAAAAGAAAGAAAGAAAGAAAACTCTCCTCCCGCTTGCAAACAGAAGATTGGTTCATTTGCGCATGCTGTGCAAAACTTGCCACAAAGTCCTTTGTGCCATCAGCATGAAAAGAATCCTTTGCCCAGGCGGGAGATTAGGGTGGCCAGCGGGAATCCCTGCACCCGAAATTCAGATCAGAATGGGTAAGTTCATGGGAAGTTGGAATTTTAAAGGGATTGTTCTGATGATGCCAAAAGAGCAGCAGCAACAACAGCCAACTCCACGGGTCCATCCAAATTTCAGCTTTCTCTCTCAGTGAAGGTACACTGAGGAGACAGAGTGCAAGGGGCTGGTTTTGCTCACCTTTAAGGGTGTCATGCAAGAGTGAACCACAAAGGTGCCAGCAGGTACATCAGGTGTCCCATCTGAGACCCCCAACCGCAGCCTCTCCCTCCCCTTTGCATCAGCAAACCCCGAGAGATCGATGCTGGTGCTGGCGGCAGCTGAACGCTGCGGTCTCACGCAGCACAATCCACGCATCAATCTTCCTTACAGCGGTGTCTTATCTTGGCTCCCAGAGTCGTAGTCAACTCCAGAAACTCTGAGGGCACCGGGGAGCGGGTGCGAGACGCGGGAGCCGCAGCTGCCACTCCCCTCCTGTGCCGGCAATTGTGCTGCCACCTCGGGAGCGCTCCCGGCCGCCCGGCCTGGTCAAAGGACCTTTGAATTAACCTTTTCACTGGAAAAGAGATTGTGGCCCTATAGAAAAGTATGAATTCAGAGCAAAGCCTTTCTGCGGGATTAGTCCATTAGAAGCAAGAAGAGAAAGGTTTTTTTGTTGTTCTGCGAGATATAAGTGATTACAGGATTTAAAGGGGGGGGGGCGGGAATCGTCTGCTATAGTGGGGAATATCAGCTTTGGAACAATGAGTGCTCTTATCCTCCGGCTAAGTCCCTGTACTGCCCTTATCTGCACCCCATCGGACTGCCTGCCAGGAGAGTGAGCTAAGAGATATAGTGTCCTGTGTGGTCCTTCCCTCCATCCTCTCTCAAGGGAAAAAGGTGTGTGAGAGATGTGGATCTGCTGCACTATAGGATTTTTTAAGAGAAGAGGGAAGGCTGTGCTAAGATTTTATATCAGAGGAAGAGAAGTCACCTGATTTCCTGTCAGAGTTTCTTCTTGTTTTCTTTTTTACATTTTTTTTGGGTGATGTTTTCTTCCCTCCTCACCTTGCCTTTCAATGTTTCTCAAAGTCGGTTATTTGTCCATTAACAGCCAAAGTACCACTACTTGCTCATCTCACCTTTGGGAGAGAAGTAAAAGACTGTGGAATTCCCATCAACTTAGAAAGAAATGACTTTTTTGTATTTTCTTATTAAGATATCTATTCTGACATGCTTAGGTACAAAGGAATTTTTTTTTAATATCAATTAATGGAAGGGCATTTTCAGTTTGGTGACAAATTTGAGTAACCTTAAAAAAGCAAGATTATTTTTTTTTCCTAAAAAAGGGGGAGAACAGCACTTAGTAAATAAGAAATCTGTTCCCTGTACAGTATCTGGTAGAAAGAGTGAGCACCTCTGTTTCAATTCATCATACAACCTCAAATAAAGGCAGGGTTTCTATAGGTCCCATAGTAACTAAAGGTAAAAGGCTTTTCAAATTTCAGACCACGCAGTCCTTACGTCAAAACTATTCAGTTCGGATCTTATCATCAGACTTTCAAATAGATTCTGATCTTTGTTTAGAAACCATCTGGCCAAAGAAAAATTGCCAACTATATCCCTCTTTTTTTTCTTTTTTCACTTCATCCCAAAAATGTGTTTTGCGACCAGCGTTTCACTTTTCATCCTTATGTGTCAAAAGTGATAAAGGACATTTAAATATCCAGTGCATGTTCTTTACACATAACAAAGTTTGTGTAATCACATTCTTGTAGCACTAAAAATCCCATATTCCTTCCCTTTACAGATGGCACAGTAATTATCATTTAGCTCTCAGAGTATAACTCAGGGTGTGGAAAGACACACAAAGTTTACATGCATGCTAACCCACCCTTTTGCAGAATTTCAAATGTAACCAATTTTTTGGTTGTATGGTCACATTAAAATTCCCCTTTTGCAACACTTTATGCAAAAAACAAACACCTGGATTCAGAGTTTCCTAAAGGAGTCATCTGAAAATAGGTACTTTCTGCCAAAATGTCACAAAGATTTATGTGCTTACATTCATGGATTAAATTGAGGACAGGTGGGAGAACATTCAAGTATGAGAAGGAATGATAGCAAATTTATGTGTAAAAAAGGGGGGGGAAGGAGGGTAGTTATTATGATTTCTGGTGGTTTAGATAAAACACACATAGATTTTTTTAAAAGGGAAGGTACCGTGCCCGAAAATCCATCCTTCAGCAGTGAAATAATTATCTGTGGGATTGTATTTCCTTAAAGTGAAGAGAGAGGCATTCTGGAATTCAAAACATAGTGTCTTAACCACGTCACTGAACAGCACTTGGATGTCACACGGAGTGTTGGAGCAGATGTTTATGACCAGGACTCACAGTGCACCAGCACGGTGCCAGCAGGCACTGAGACACTGCAGCTGCAGCTTGCTGTCCTTCCCTGGCCAGGATCTTTGTGCCTCTCCCAAGGACATCCCCTCCCACCACAAAATGGGAGAAAGCAACGGCTCCTGCAGAGGAGAACTGGGTGGTCACTGACATTCCCTGGAGCCCCTCACACGTGGTGGCCTCTGAGCTTCTGCAGGAAGGCCAAGAACAGGTGGGCACTGGTCATGGGAGAGAGGAGACTCAAACCAAGTAAGCTGAAGGAAAAGCAACAAGAACACCGAGCTGTTCGTGAAAATTTGGGTTTAAACCTCGTTTGTGTTTCAAACCCTTTTCTAATCTCTAGGTAGTCTTAAATAGGATCACATAATGCCTGGCCCATTGGGAAGGGATGCTGGAGTCTGACAAATGTCCTCTTATCTCAATTTTAATGGGAGATGGGGATGGGGGCATCCATTAAAAGTCCTGTTGTGTCCAAACCCTACACAGGACACTTTCAAACTAGATTTTACACTGAAGAAAACTGTAACATAGCTCAATAGTCAGCCAAGCCAGCTGCTACTTTAGCCTCTCTAAAACACCATCCCAATTATTATCAGGATTCATAGCTAAGATATGTTGTAAATCAAGCTGTTCAGTGCTCGCTAAATTCCTTTTAGATTAAAATTAACTTCATTCCAATCCGTGCACCCAGAGCTGGCTGTGTATACATTATCGTTCCTTTAAAGCAGCAATGCACTCAAGATCAACACATTCCCACCTTTTAAATCACAGAGGATGATTACATTGAGGCAAATGAAAACTGAAGCATATTGACAAGCTTGCTTTTTTTTTTCCTCCCCACTGCAGGAAATGATTGTAGAGGTAGGCAGCCTAGTGTTTCACAGAAGTACTGTGTTTTATGTAAATAAATATATAGCTAGGAACAGTCATGGAGGTTAAAGGGCATCTGTAAAGAGAAAACTATGATTCCTAGACCCTTTGTTAAGTTTATTTAGTAGAGGGACTAGAGAAAGTTTCAGACTGGGCTGTAAGGTGCTAATAGCCCGACCAGATAAATGTTAGCTTCCCAAGTCTGGATGCCAGAAGAAACTGTAAATGGCTAAGAGCTGACATAGAATTCTTCTATCCAAGAAAAACATATTATTCTGCACCAAAAAAAAAATAGGGTATAGAGTATTACATCTCAGTATAACATTGATGTATTATTCTTTTTCAACCTCTGGCCTTCAGGACAGTGCAGTGTTATCGTTCTATATTAATCCTCCCATGCATAAATTTAGCTTTAAAATTTTTAAGTAGAAACCATCAACCTATGCTTCATAATTTAAAATTTATTTTTATTCACTGTTGCCTCCAATTACTTCTTAGAAACTTAAAGCTGAATTAGACTGCTTCCCTATATTTATTTTTCCTGTATCACACACACATGAAAATTTATCAACATGGAGCACTTGCATAAATTCTGAACCACTGGAATTGCTTTTCTGTTCAGAACCAAATTAAATTATTTATACAGCGACAGTGACTGTTGGATTAGACTTTAATTACAGCAACACTTTTAGAAGAAAAATGGGGTTTATTTACCAAGTTTATAATTGATAATCACTAACAACAACTTGCTCAGTGAGTATTTCACAACTAGCTTAACAGTATGTTTCAGGTGATGCTCCTGAAGGCATCAGGGGCATTTTTCCATTTGCCCTGTACCTGCAGAGTTTGACACCTGACCACAATCGGGTCATCTGTATCTGTCTGTTGCCTCTGAACTCTGAAAGAAAGGTTGTTTTAAAAATTATGTCTGGCAATTTCATCCTGCCAGGTACAACTGAAGCTTCTAGAAATTAATTTTTCTTCAGATAACATAGAATTTTCCATCTGAGGTTCACCAGTTTAATACAACCTTAGGAAATATTTAGGTTAGGCTAATATTGTATAGCTATGTTGCTTGAAAGCTCTTTGAAAAGTGGCAGATTCAACCTATTCCCAGCAGGATGTTAAATTGTGGTACTTATTTACCTGGTGGGATCAAATCATATCCCCATTTTCACCTTTACAATCACACTGAAACCACCAGAAATATGCAATTGGAAAAGAAAGCAAATGTAACGTGAGGTCACTGTTCCTTTTTTCTCCAAGATAAGAAGTTTTCACATAGCAGCAACCTCTGGGAAACAATCCATTTTAGACCAAATTAGTCCCAGTGGTAATGTTGATTTTTAGCAACTGAGTTACACCAGGGATACATTTAATTCTACTGTTCTTTGTTGTTCTCATTAATAAGCCACATTATGTCACACAGTCTGCATGCAAAAGTATGATTAGTGTTATTTAATTACTTTGTTTTTGTAAGAAAATCTACCCAGTTGGGTTGCATATAACCAGTAATGTGGCCAAATCAAATGTGTGCACTCCAACCCAAATATTTTTTTCTTTGTTTCTGCACATATAATTGCATGTAATTTTTAGTTGTGTACAGAATTTTTATGATAAAACCCCATTAATCACATATTCGTCAGTGCAGCAAAAATACATCTGAGCAAACGTGGTATAATGTTACAAACATAAGACATGTTTTAGGATGGAAAGAGGCCAGGATTCCCATCTTCATCTATCCCCTAATGTTACATAAATGACTAAGTCATCATATCCATGGTTTTCACATGGAAATATAAACACCACTGAAATTCCATGCACTATAAATGTCTATGGCTCTTGAGTGCTTAAAATTACCAAGAGTGCCATAAGAACAGTGTACACAACATCCACTGAAGGATGAGAACAGCCCAGGCAGTGCTGGCAGTGGGTGCAGATGACGTGGGGCATTAATTGCCATCCAGGCTCCCACGTTATCACCTTCCCTGGTGTCCTCACACACAGGTTGCTTCAGATCTCTGGCCATTCGGTTCCCTCCAGCTCCTGGAGTGTTTTTTGTTACACTTCCATCACTTGGATTATTTAGCTCTGAAGGCCTAGCATGCAAGTCTATGGCTCTTGAGAGAATGGGGTCTCAAAGTTTATTTAGTTCCCGAAGCCCTGTTCTGGCACTAATTAAAAATAACCTTTCATGGGGGGCACAGTGTCCCACTCTTCTGCAGAAACAAGGAGTTGAAGTCAGAGAAGTTGCTCTTCGTGTATAGCAGCATCCGGGTGAGAAAACTTTTTCTCTGTCTGGGCTTTTGCAACTAAACCAAAGCCAGGCCATATTCTAATCTAATTATAGTCCTTAATCAGCAGTGTGTTACCAGCTCAGGGTCTTTTTAACTTTAGAGTCTCGAGAAAACAATTCATAAACAAGCAGTGGTTGTGAAATCCAGTCAGGCAAGAGACTCCTCTGATTTCGAAGCAGAGATTCGTGCTATGTTGATGACACTACTGGCTCAAATATCATATTTACATTCTAGTTTTTAATGGCTTGCAGTTAGGAATCAGACAAGCTGTTCTGTAGGTGGTCTAAATTATATCCTGTGTGCACACTGCGTGCTAAGAGAAGTTTGCTGATCTAACAAATGATAGAAGACTAAGCAATACCCACTGTACATCCAAATCTTTACCCTGGCAAACCTTATGCTGATTTTTCACAGGAGTTTTCCCTGAGTAATGGCCATAGAATTTGGCCCATTTTGACTGAATTAGTGATTAACAGTTCAGTACCAGGAACCCTGTCCCTTTGGTCCGCTGTAGGTATTTAAAGCTAATTCGCACTATTGCAATTACAAAAAAAAAAAATCTTACTATTTTCCAATCTTTTTTAACCTCGAGTTTTTCTGTGGTGAAAATATTTTATCCATTTAATGTTAATATGTTTTTTTTAGCCAGATCTGGTTACCTAAATATGTAGACATATGACTTGTGGGACTTTCAGGAATACCTGTCTTTCACTAAAATCAAGGAGAATGAACCGTTAAATGTCTTTAATGAGTCATACCAAACTGACTGATGAATAAAAATCACATTAGAAAGCTCTGACAAAGCAGGAGATTTATTCTGCCACCCATAAGCCAAACCACTATTCAGGTCCCAATGCTTGACTTCTGGTAACACTGTCAGTCTCCTTCCTCTTTAACTCACTTCTTTCATGTACTGTAAAAAAGGGCTGTCTAAGATACAACCTGATCTTTCAATCTGTACATAGCTCAGTGAAGATCCTAATCCTGACTGAGACTGGAAATACTCAGCTTAATTATTTTAACTCCAATAAATGGTAAAACCTAGAAATTGTGGTGACACCAGTAGAGAGCTGATACTTCCCATTCTTTGCTTTAATGTTGTATTTGAAACAGAAATGCTTGCAGAGGGATTTTCTTGTTGGGGACGGTGGGTGGGTAAACTGAAACAATAGTTCTGTGACAGGTCCCTAAATGATATCAAAAACTAACACCTTTGTCTTATAAAAGGGATAAAAGATGAGAGCATGGCCTCTGAGGCTCTGCTCCCTCCCCAACAGCTGAGCAGGCGTGTGCACATCTGAGCCTTTGTGCCTGAAGCTGCCGAGGGCCAACTCAGCAGGACTGTGGCTTCTGCCCCTTCTGCACTGGCATGTTCACTGCTCTATCCAGGGCAGCAAGTCACAGTGCAGGCACAGTGGATTCCACCATGTGGGGCCAAAATCAACCTTGGCTGCTTTTCTGGGGGAAGAAAAACTCTGGGACAGCCCTGTGGCCTGGGCTCTTAGTGATGGCAGCAGCCTGGGAGGCATTGTGGAGCACAACTCCCAGGAATTTGTACTCTGGAAACACACTGACTAGTGGGACTAATTGGGAGATTTACCTCCTGATCTGAAGTAACATGAGACATCGTGTAAGAATGAGATTAAAATTATTAATTTGAGGCAATTTCAAGGAGAACAGCCCTTCTTTATGTCACTTTTTCATAATCCTGAAATAACCCCTGGAAGTAGGCAAATTTCAGCTTCCTTCAACACCTGCTAATATGTTTGAGATACATGTTGTAATCCTTGTTCCTCCTTCCTGTATCTTGCTGGACTTTGGCTTTCGGGGAGAGATTTCTGTTGCTGTTCTCTAATTGAATATAGCTCTGCTTACAGCCACGAGTTATTAACACTGTGAAACTCCCTACAGTATCTCAGCTCTTTATCAAGTTTAGGAAAAATTTAAATAACAGTTTAGCAGATAAGGTTCTTTCTTACTTCCCCTCTTTATCCCACTGCCTTCCTGCAGAGCCACTAAAGAGCAGGGAATAGGAATATCAGGGTTACCTCTTCATTCTTAATGAAACGCTGCTTGTGAATAATCATGGAAGGACAGGAGGAAATGCTCCAGCAAGTTCAAACCCGCTGCCAACCCTGATGGTCAGACAGAGGAGGGAGCTGGTGGGTCCCCAAGCATGAACCCTGTCTCAGTGGGGTGGGGGCAAGGGGAGCAGGCAACAAACCCTGTGCAGGTCTCATCTGTGGGAGCTGCTGCCACAGTTCATGGACAGGCCTTGGAAATGCAGCTCCCAGTCCTTCTTGTAGTAGTTATTAGCAGTATAAGAGCTATTATTTTCACTTACAGGCAAAATTTATTCTTTCTTTTATTTTTTTTAGTGTATTGATCTGATCAGATTTTCAGCCTCGGTGCAACTACCTGCTATTTTCATCCCCAAGACTTTGGAGAAGACAGGACATCTGCACCATGTCAGGTGGGTGCTGTCCTGCAGGAGGTCAGAGCCTGTGGAGTGATAGCTTTTACTCAGAGAAGAAAGAGAGTTCTTCCAGGAGCAATGTTCTTCTCTTCATGCCTTGGAGACCCTCAGCAGCAAAAACTACTCTGCTTTCTGCTCTTTCCCCTCCCTGAAGGCTGCCCAGAGCCCTGCCTAGAGGCTGCAAGATACTCCCTGTTCCCAGTGCCCTGGATTGAACCACAAGCTGCTGAACTCTCAAACGTGCTTTTTGGTGGGTGCACACAGTGATGTTTTGTCTGCTGCTCCTTCTAACTTGAGTTCATTTGTCTTGATGTTTCCCACAGATGGTTACAATAAGACTGCAAATGGTTTCCCAGCTTTTAAAAAAAAAAAAAAAAGAAAAAAAAAGGCAACAAAACCCCCCCTCTCCTTTCTATTCTCTTTAGAGAAACTCAGATGTCTTAGTTAGGAATTAAAGTCTGAATATTAAGTTAAACTATTCTGTGAAGTCATTTTAGTTTTGCTGACCTGGATTTTTAAACAATCAAATCACTTTGGGATGGAAATGTTCTCTCTGTAAACGAGGAGAGAAGAATCTTTTCTGCCGTGGCTTAGGTGATAAAGGGTATATATAATAAATAATAACATGGTCATATTTTCAACACTATCCTTGGTCATTGCATTAATCACCCCATGCATAAAAATAGGTTTTCTGATCTGCTTATATATTGTTCTGCATATTTGTTCCTCATTTGTAGCTTCTTTTTTTTTTAATCTATCTTGCTAGATCATGATGGGATAATTTCAGGAAGTTTAGAGCTAGATTCCCTCCTGCTTGCACTAACTCTCTGCTCTGAACAGCAGGACATCCATTCCAAACTAATGTAAGAAAAACAAGAACAAGTTTTCACTGCGAGAGGTTCCTCTCCTAATTCATTCAGACTTTCTGGGAGAAGGGAGGAAAATGGCTTTTGAAATATAAAAGACTGCTATAGCTGGCTCATCACTGGGGTTTGTCATATCCCATTAGCAGCGATCTAGAAATATCAGTGTCATAACATCTTGGCAATCACCCCTCTTTACCAGTATCATATGAATGCCCATCCACATTAATGTCCAGCCTGTCATTCAAACAGCTACAAAAACGTATTGTGTAACAGGAAAAATTGCTAATGCACATAGGCTTTCCTGTTACCAGTAAGAGTAAAGGAATAACATCCTTTATCCTGTAGAAACTGGTACCTCTGTCAACGTTCACCAGACAAAAAACATAACCATCACAGGTACTTTCACCACTTTTGAAGATTTTACATTTTAGATATTCTTTTATCTCCATTAAAATCCCTTACTATACATGTATTTCATGTCCATGGTGTTTGCTGAGGTTTAGACATAAAATATAGCTTCTTTGCCTAATAAACTGCATTTTTTTTCACTACTATTCAAGTAGGTCCACTTTATTACAGAAACCTAAATGTTCAGTCATTGTAAGGGATTACCATTACATATTCCTATAAATAATTGTTCACTTTAAGGATAAAGTGAGTAGGAATTTGCTTCCAAAGCATTCTCATCAATATACTGTCAGCTTAATGCTGATACCTTTTAATTACATGGGATTTTTTCTGGAGATTTATCCTTAAATCTCTCAATAATCCTAGCAAAATCTTCATGTCAACTAATGGACCGCTCCCCTTGCAATTGCATCAAGCAAAGAAAAGGATCTAAACGTTTCCTTCCCTTTTTCCTCAATTTAATAATACAGAGTTGTTAAATGGGAATAGAATGTAGGAAATGTCAATCCATAAACAAGAAAACTCCCAGTAAAAGAGACTGGGTTACATGCCTTCCTCTGAATAGAAAAAATTCAGCTGCAAGTCTGTGGCATGCAATTTCATCTTTCAGGAATTTTCTTCGGGCTCACAAAGGAGTACACATTATTCAGCTTTTGTCTGCAAACGATAAAACAAAGCCAGCACGAGCTCGGAACAGGAAACAGAGAGAAGCAAAACAATAGCCTTGAATTTGGAATAAGACCTAGATGTTAGGTGGCTGAGCTATTTGAAATATAATTGCAGCTACAAATATTCCGGGCTCGCCGGGCGAAATTTAATAAATAAATAAAAAATTGGGTGTGAACACGCCGTTGATGCGGGCGTTCGGCACAGTGCCACCTCCTGCAGACCTGCCGAGCTTCGGAGCACATTTTTCTGATTGAACGCTCTTCTCCCAGTCAGTCAGAGCGCGGCACCAGTTGCCAGAAATCATTCATCAGCCCCTTGCAGAAAGGGCTGTCAGCTCAGGCTGCAGGCCTAGCGCCAGGCTGTCAAGTGTTGGGCTTGCAGCCAGTCTGTCATGGTTTGAGGCTGGTAGCCAAGCAGTAACTTTGATGTTTAAGGGGTTAGCCAACTGGTATGTGAGGGTGGCCTATCAGCTCAGAAATAATATACCGCACTCAAAGGTCACGAGTCCTGAAACTAATCTGGCTGTTATAATATTTCTAATAAAAACTGAGGTAGACCTTTTATATTGTAAAAAGTGTTCAAATTATTTCAGTATTTGTTTTGATTAAAATTTCCATTACACGTGCTTTTCATTACGCAACTCAATTAGTATATAAAAGATTTTCTGTTTAAAATGTTCAAATGAGCATAATTGTTCAATTTGGAAAGATTACAATGCTTTTATTTAATTAACACTGCAATAAATACTTCATTTTGTAATGAACCCCATACTTTTGGGCCATTAACCATTCACTAAATTTACAGTATGGAAGGTTCTTTATGGGGAAGAAGATAAATAAAGCGATTTAAATGAATGTGCAACAGCTCTGATGCTAAGCAGCAAATTATAGCTTTTTGCTTCCCATCCACAAGAGTCATACCTCGATTACAAACATATGGGAACGTAATAAACACTATACATTTCAATTACTATTTTGAACATGAGTTACACAACACTTTCAAATCTGCTACGTAGAAATGCATGTCTGCATTTGTGGCATCTTCCCAGAAGAAGAAGATGAAGTAAATTTTCATCTGCCTTTCTCTTTCTCCTTCTCCCAACCCATCCACTGGTTCTTCGGTTCTGAAAATCTGTGTGGGAATTTCCTGATTTAAACCCGATCATTTGTTTCTTCATGAGAGTAAAAGGAACCAAAAACCAACAAACTTCCCAGCAGTAGCAATATGATGGAGGAAAATGCCCTGGTAGTAGCATGGTGTGGTGAATGAAATCACACCAATGAATGAAACCACAGAGAGCAGGGTTCTAACAGAGTGACAGGAATACAGGGCAAACCCTGGCGCTCCAGTTGGATCACGTACATCCATCCCTCCATTCTAAAGCTACAAGTGCATCTAAATTCATAAATCAGAAAGAGGCCTAAGAGGTAAAAATGGCTCTGTCAGGTAGTGGAAGTACTTCTCAGAGTTGGATAGGAAGCAAGAGCCTGGAGTCATAGAATCATTTAGGTTGGGAAAGACCTCCAAGACCCCGGAGTCCAACCGTTAACCTAATGGTCCCCCCAGGCAGGGCGATCTGAGCCCACTGTGCCTGATGGGAGTGACCACAGGGTGTTAAAAACCTTCAAATCCCAACAAAACCCACAGAGCTGGGAGCTGTGGGTGGGTGCAGAAGCCATGCAGCATCCTGTTTGATCCCAGGCTGCCTGGGATCTGCCGCCAAGGCCGCCGTGCCACCCACCTGCTGGGGAGCTCTCCTGGAAAAGGGGCTCACTTCTGTCAATATTTTGTGTCATTTCATGGTTGTATGCATGGAGGGCAAAGCTATTTCAGATTTACAGGGCTGCTCAGCCAAAAAAGCTCGTAAAACTCTAGTTTGCCAAAAATGGTAACATAACCAGTAACAAAATCTAATTTGTGAACTTCACTAGGAAAAAGGGTTCTTTGTAAAACTATGATTTCATCTAGGAATATGGATTCAAAAGATTTTATTGTTTCATTAACCAAACCTCTCTTTCTCTAATCCAAATTTTACAATCCTGAATCTTTAAATGTAAACCATAAAAACTCACCCAAAAAAACCCAAACCAAACCAACAAGAAAACAACCTAACAAGAAAACACTTGGAAATGTATTACACTTTCCTTTTTCATGCTTTTAAAATAGACTGGACAGCATTTTTCTACAATGTCCACTGGAGTCCTTTCAGATATTGTGCTCTGTTTACAGTATCCATTGTTTACAATAATTATGAAATTAAATTAAGTCACATAACCATGTATTTAGGCATTCCTTATGAACTGTAACCATTGAACAAACTACTTGAAAAACATTACCGCATGCTCTATTTCTCAACTGTTATTTGGAATTTTTTTCCTAATCTGAAAAAAATACATAATTAGCACAGACATAAAATAAAATAACATGTAGATTTAGAGAATATTTAACACTACAGGTGAAAATAAAAGGTACTACTGAAACCTGACTTAGTAAAAAGTTTTTCTTACGAGCATTTAAAATTTCTAAGTATACCTTAAGACAAGCAAACATTTAAAATAGATTGTTCTCAGGAAATTTAGCCACCTGCTTTTGTATATTTTCTGGAGAGGGAAAAAATATAGACCCCTGTTGTGCAAAAATAAATCGAGTAGTTTGTGGTAACTTTATTAAAGATGAGTAATTTTTAAAGCTAACAGTGAGACATAAATGTTTAACACAAGTCTCTTCCTTACAGAAGCTTTGAATAAGGACATGTCTGTTTTAAACTGTAGATTTACAGGCAGAGAAGAAGCAAAATATTTTAAAATATTATCTGTATAGTCTGGTCAATGAAAGTGTTAAAATCACATTAAAAATTCAACGAGTTTCAGCCTGTCTTGTACTATCTTAGTCCCTGGCCCTTGCAATCCTAGTGAACCAGGTAGGTTATGTGCCTCCATGTACTTCAGTTGCTCTCACTTTAATAATAGACTTAACATTGCTAGGAGAAGAAAGGATATATTCTTTAAAGCCTATTTTGTGGGCCTATTTCAAGGGCCTGATTAATAATCAATACACTACATTTCATGGTACTTAAACACGAGTTTATGAAGTAGTTTAGTCTAACTGCAAATGTTTCTCTCCGATAGTAATCTCTGTCTCATTACTAATTTTCTTTCTAATTTCAGACCATGAGAACTGCTCTTTTCTTGCCCAACTGCATGATTTGAGGTCAACCAGATTGAGAAACGATAAAAGATTCCTTCATAATTAGCTGATGTTATCAAACTCCAGACATA